CGTAAGATATAACATTAAAATGAATCAAATAGCAAATGATAAAACAAAAAATAATATAAACGTTAAAATGAATTTTGTTTCCTCCAGGTAGGTTATATTCTTAACTAAGTATGAATAAAGTTGAGGCAGAAAGTCCGCCCTCCATATAGTTATAATGGTTAGGGATATAGCCTGGCCAAAGTGGGTCAAAACCTACCCTCTACCAGGGCGAGTGATAGATTTTTACAGATATTCACAGATATGTCTCTAGCTAGATACATGGTCATTTAGGGCTCAACTCACCCTGTTGAGGAATCCCATGTGGAAACAATCATCTCTGCGCGTGCGCGCCAAAGGCTTTGCACTTGCTCTGCATGTGCTGAGCTTCGCAACGATGTGATAACTGCTCGTTACGCAACCAGTCTAAGACTCTTTTATCTGTCACAGTAGAGCAAGTGATTGAAGTCAGAGTAATTAACTGTCTTGATTGCTGTCACGCAGACTTAGACTGGACCTGCTAAGTGGCAGTACCTGAGCAGTTATGCAAACAATTATCAGCCATGTAATCAGCCTTGAGATTTCTCAATAGGGTGAGTTGAGCCCTAAATGACCATCTATCTAGCTAGAGACATATCTGTGAATATCTGTAAAAAACTATCACTCGCCCTGGAAGAGGGAAGTCAAAACCTAGGGTGAGATTTACCTTCAAAAATGAATGTGAGGTGGACTCTCTATCATGGTAGACTCTCTCTTATGTTACACCGAGATGAATCTTATCGGTGTTGGATGGGGTGGGAACAAAACTCAACAATTTGCCGATTTTAAAAGGATTTGGCCTAAAATGAATTTTCTGGGGTAAACGACAATTTCCCTATACTTGATAATCGGCAATGAATCCATTTCTACATTCAAATTAAGTCCCTGTTTTTTTGTTATAATCTCTTAACAGATTTTTACAGTGTATAACCATCTATAGAGGCCACGTGGTCCGATGACAGGCACATATTTCAGAATAATTGACGTAACTGCCGTTTTTGTGGTAAAACGGGATATATTACATTTCTAAGAGTTGCTTACTACAGTATGTACGTTGTTGTGAAATATAAATCTCATACGAACAGTTGTTATCCCTTGAAGCTTTTGCTAACATGCAGAAAATTTAAACGATAGTGATTGCTAAATTTACAATCGCTTCGTCTGTTAGCGGATCTATCACGGCGGACGGACGTGTACAACCAAGATGATATTTGACTATGGTGACGTCATAATAAAATTAAAAAACTCTAGATCTATATTCTTTAACAATCAGCGTCAAAAAATAATTTAAAAAACTGGGTATTCTTTAACAATCGGTAAAGTTCATCGTATTATATTTATTTGATATGCTATATATACACTATTTTTTCTTCCCATATCATTTCAGAAGCAGCTGCTATTAGCAACAGAATGTATCTGACTTTCTAAAGCAAAAGTACAAACCTTGTAAACAACTTAAATTTCTCCTTGAATATTTATCCATTACATTCATTCCAGGTGTGACAACATCAAGAAATGTAAACCATTTGTTATTTTCATACAAACGCTCGTCCTCATGGGATGTGCAATCGTTGATGCCGTCATGGACTGGATATCGTATACAGAGGTATTAAGAATTGATGTTTCATACATAGAGGGAGAAGAGGAAAACAGTGCCTTGCGCACCTGGTACTTAGTTTGCTGTATTGACGTGACATTAACGGTCTCTCTTGTTGTTCCGTTCTGCATCTTCAAACTTACAACCACGGCGATACATATAAGGCGGGGCGAAGTCTCCAAGTCCGATGAAGCCCGGGAGAAGAAGATAGAAGTCGCTCTTGACGCTGTTCTACTTTTGAAGCAGGCGCTCGGAGAATTGCCCCTTGCGTATTTGACATGGAGTATAGCGAATACAGAATCATGTGCGTTCACTCAAAAACTTACGGGAAAGTTTACATTTGTGGCACGGGCCGTTGGTCTGGTCCTCTCCTCTGTCATTGTGGTCATCAACATTTTCAAAGCTATAAATGGGTGTTGCAAATGTTGCGCGGAAGACGACAAAAATCGGAACAAGTGCAGATTTGTCTTAGACATTCTTACTTGTTTGCCAGCTCTTGCTTCCATCGTCTTCGATATCCTTTTTATTGCCGCCATGTTGCACACACAAGACGTGGTGGACCTGTTTGAATCTTTTGGCATAGAGATAGAAAAAATTCGAATAAAAAACGCACCCCCGGCTCTGCAAGGCCTTGCCAAATTGGCAGCCAATGAAAACTCAACGGACGTCACAATATTCGCCCGCCTGCAGAGCAGTGTGCCGGAAATAAACGGAACTAGTCGAGAAGTACCGAGGCTCTCTCGTTTGTTTTTGCTAGCTTTTGCCGCCCCCGTCTTTTATGACGGAGATGCAGGTCGGATGATTAGATTCCCTTGTCATTTTTTTCATTCCAACGGAAACGCCACCACCACCTTTCAGGCCCCGATGGTCTTCAATTTCAATAAAATTTCTCTCGGCGTTCTTGCGCCGGGCAACCTTTCAATCCCAATGCCTTGTCCACTATTCGACAACCAAACCAATTTCATCTCAGATTCACCTCTGTCAGCGAATTATAACTGGAATAACGCTTCTGGCATAGAAAATTGCAACGTTGCCTTTTTTCTTCAATATCATCCCCAAGAGTCCGCGATATTCTACAACCACGTTTGTGTACTGAAGAACAGCACGGGCGGCTGTAATGTTTACCCGTACAAACAAGAGTTGGATGTGTACTTTCAACGAATTCCCGAAGACCAGAACGTCACCTCGTGGATCCCAAGACCCGAGGAAGACGACAGCGAGAAACGCATGTTCTGTGGTACAAACCGCGCGTTTCATGACCCCGACTTGCAACTTGAGAGGTCGCTGTGCGTCAATATGTCAACGGTGAACCACACCAGATCGGTAAGCGACGCGTTTAATTTCTGGGAGATCCGCCCAAGTGGTGAAAACGTGACGTATTACCAGTGTAAAGACGTCAACGACTGTGTTAAAATGGAAATGGATGTTCCTTAAGGTGGCGCCATTTCAATGCCAGCTTGGATACCACGTGATTGTGGTCCTGCTCGGAGTGTTAGGTCACGTGACCATGATTTGATGTTCTACCGTATGCAGAAATGGCAATACAATATCATTTGAATATTTCTAATAAGGAACAAATTTACGTGCAATACAAAGTGCACGTGTAGTCCTGAAAGATTCTTGATTTAGGTTTGCAATGGTCTGCTTAAATTCAGAATACTTCTGCAGTTTTCAAAAAAAAAAAAAAAAAAAAAAAAAAATATATATATATATATATATATATATATATATATATATATATATATATATATATATATATATATATATATATAATAAAAATAAAAATAATAATAAATAAAATAATTATACTAATAAAATAATAATACTGGTTTAAAAGTTTTGCTTGTTAAGAATTGAGCACAGATAAGTCTTCAATGAATGTAGAAGTAGATTAGATTTTAATTCATTTGTGAAACAGGTTCCTTAACTATTGTTTTGCAGACTTGAAATGTTAACCTTTTATTAGAAAAGTTGAGCCAATTTGTTTCCCATCATATACGTTTGTACAACAATTTAAACGTTATCCCACCATTACAAAGTATGAATTATGATTAACTAAAAAAAATTAGTAGATTGATAAATTATGATGTAAATAGATGTAATTAAGGTGCACAGTGCTCTTTACGAGGGTTGATTGATAAGTAGTGAGCCTCATATAGAAGGTGTACACATTCTACAAGTATTTTTCTTTTTTTTTCAACATACTCTCCTTGAGTATCAATACACTTTTGCCAGCAAGTTTTGAGGGCCTCTATGCCACTTTTATAGAAGCCCTTCTCTTGGCCGTTCAGAAACCCCTCCACTTCACGTATGACGTCATCATCTGACACAAAGTGAGTACCTGAAATGGGAAATAGATAATAGTCAGAGGGAGCAAGATCAGGCGAATAAGGTGGATGTTCTATCAGTTCAAAGCCACACTCTTTGATTGCAGCCATGGTAATGACAGACTTGTGAGCAGGGGCATTGTCCTGGAGGAACAGTACACCTTTCCTAAACTTTCCGCTGCCTCGTCGACATAAACTAACCAAATGACACCAAACCTCGGCTACACACCTTTAAATAGTCAGGGAATAGAAGGGCTGAAAAGGGATATCCTTGCTTAACCCCTTCCACACGAGGCTCACTACTTATCAATCAACCCTCGTACTTCGAAGTTTGATATATATGAAACCTGAAAGATGCAACATTTGAGCACAGTAGTCTTCACCAGTAATTAAGTCCAAACTTTTAGATTTCATTTATTGACATATATAATTGTGCATTTTGAAAAAGATGTGATTTAAGTACCTTTAGTATTATCACTCAGATTATGACATTATGATTATGACCTTTGCTAGCTTAGACCCTTTTAAAATCAAGATGTATAGTTTAGTGATAGTCTGTAATCCCCTAGCAAAATATCAGGCTTGCCACAAACTCTCTCTAAAATATGCTGCAAATATCTTGCAAACTTACTGCAAACTTGGATGTTCTGGCAAATTTGCTACTAATTTGCTGCAGGTTTGCTAGAACATAATTACTTTCTTGCAAGCCTGCTGCAAACTTAAGATGTTCTTTTTTCTTGTAAACTTGCTGCAAATTAGCAGCAATGCCAATTTTTCTTGAAAACTCCTTTAGTTTGTACCAAATTTGCTGCAATATATTTGCAAATTTTTCATTTTGGTAAGGGCTGGAAATCTTTAAGATACTGACAAACACATTTTAGTAGTTCATTGGACGGGAAATACAATGTACTGTACTGGCATCCCTAGTATAAATGAATACCTGGTAAGCAAATGTTGTTTTTCTTGAAGAAAATCATTTGGCTTAAATTCCAAAAAAGAATAATTTTAAATGTATTTAAAAAAAAACATATTTCTTTTCCTGTAAATGATGAATTCATGCTGTTTAAGTGCATTGTTAATGTGAACACTGAAAATAAATTTATTCTAATTCTGCTGTTACAGAATTTGATGCGTTACTGGGTAGCTAAGTCATCATATTGCAAAATACTCCTTTAGTCTATGTAGAAATCTCTGTAAATCTGCATCAATGTGTTAAAAAATCCTCATAATAGCCCCAGGATGCCTGGACTGGATTGTGTCAGAGAAGACAATGAACACATCCACCACAATGGTATTAAAGAATAGCTCTGTTAATCTGCATCTATTTTCTCTGAAACATCTTTTTCCAACCAACTCCATGTTAACTGAGCGACTGGCTCACTAGCTGTGAGAACAAAGGCATGCTCATAGCCAACTTGGCACAATTTAATGTCTCCGTCTGGAAACCTCTCTTTCATTCCCTCATAGTACTCCACAGGGCACCATGCATCTGTCAATCCCATATAGAAGGTGAGTTTCTTCAGGTGAGCACGGATGATATCAACATGTAGGTCAGTGACCTCGTTCATTTCGGTGTTGGCCATGTACATTACGTTCCCAAGACAAAAATGGTCCACTAAATTCAAAGTAGATTCGATTGCACACTCCGGAAGGTTGTCATCTGCTAGGTGCCAAATTATCAGCTTTCGCTGAAGGTTTTGGGGAAGGAAGGACAGGAAATAAGCAGCCCCGCGAGCAATCCAGCGAAAATAGCGTAGGAATGGTGTTGCAATACGTCCCTGAGGTGACAGAGCCATTCGCTCTATTGTTGGGAATAGCATGATGGCGCGGTGTATGTTTAAATCGGGCAGTCTGTTCACGAGTTGGAGAATGATGTAACAGCCTATGGAATGACCAATCAAAATTATGTTTACATCTTTGGGTACGTGGTTCCTGAGAAAGTCCATCTTGTGTTGAATTTGACCCTCAAGGTTGAATGGATCATGAGCGGAGGCTGAAATCAAAAAGAACATCATATTTTACAAATAATAAATATTCAATAACTGAGAAAAATAAATACGATAAACATTTTAATCTTATAACTTAAAATTGGGTGATATAAATAAAATTCTTGCAATTATTTTAAAATATATGATAGGAAAATTGAAAATAAAAACCAAATCAGATTCTGTAAATCAATAAACATGTCCTTTGTAAAGAGTGTATCCATGACAAGATTTTATATGAACAGATGTAATCATACATCTCAATAGAATTTCACGGGTGAAGGTTTTTAAAACTGAAAATCTGGAAAACGTAGCTTGAGATTTCTCATCGTGTAAAGTCCATACATAAAAAACGATCAAACTGAAGAATGAAGAACCTGAAATCAGGCAAAATCTTGAAACTTTAACCCATGGAATTTGAGAAAGTAGTAACTTCAATACAATTTTTTTGCAAATTTATAAATAACACGAGCATGATTACCCTGAATCTCCAATTCTTTAGGAATCTTTACGTGCCCTGCATGTGACACAGCCCACACAGGCAGTCTCTTGTTACTCAGGGTGTAAAGTTTGTCCATAAACTCCTCATAGTAGCCCACAATTCCTGGGTTGCCTGGAATGGATTGTGTTAGAGAAGACAATGAGCACATCCAGCACAATGGCATTTAGCATCATTGATGGCACAGTTTTCAACCAGCCTGGAATCGATTGTGTTAGAGAAGACAAGAGCACTGGTGCTAAATTTAAACCAGATTGTGTTAGAGAAGAAAAACCAGCACACCCAGCACAATGGTATTGAGGCATAGATTTTTACCAACCTAGAAACTGATTGTGAAAATGAATTCAATACAATCAGCATAATGGTATAAACTAAAAGCAATGAGGTACAGGGCTTTTACACAGTATGCAATAAACCCTCACTGATGTCGTCATACTAGTAATCAATTTAAACATTGACTTAAAATTCCAACTCTTGGTGGAAAAAAAGACAGTAATCTTGCAGAAACTGTGTTGTATTGGAACTAATAAAAAAATGTTACTACTTGGCATAAACCTTTCTCTTTATGACTCTAGCACAATTGTGAAAAATGTTGAAGTCTTCCAGTCTAATTCTTAAAACTCGTGTTTGCATAAAAATGACCAAGATATATTTCGAAAACTGTCTAAAATTGTCTTTTGTGAATTATCCAAGTTAGTAAGTTAACTTTCTTATTTTAGAGACACCTGCAGTTGGAGCTGCACCATAGTGGTGTCATATCTACAGTATAACCCTTATGAAAAAGTCCTATAGGATCCTATAAGATCCTATAGGATTCTATAGGAAATTGGCCCAAGTAAGGGAAGATAATAAGGATACGATACGATAGGATACGAAATGATACGATAGGGATAAATGACCCAGTTTTCACACCTGGTATTATCACAGCTAAAAAAGGCTCGTTTCCAGATGGATTTCCTTTCTTGACATCTCCACACTTCAGCACATGGGTGGGAACACCATGGAGAGTTAAAAACTGTGACTGCATATATGAACGGTGCTGTACTTTCTCCATTTTGGATCTATGGCACAGGTTGATGCATGCACCTACTCTTACCTGTAACATAAAAGTCAGTCAAAAATGACTCAATCTTATAGCATGTAAAAACTAAACTATTTTTCACCAAGTATACATATTCTGTAAAAATTAATGTCAACTTGTGTCCTTCCATTGTGTTTAACCTTTGTCCCACACTGAAAAAAAAAAATCAATACTCATTATTTTTTTTATGTGCACACAACTGATACCTTGATTTTAAGTTATCATAAATGGTATACTTGTACCTGTCAAAGGGTGCTTTCCCAGAGATTTAGATCGATCTAAACATTAAGTTTTAGATCGACCTAACTCCCTGGGGGTTCACGCTAAATTGCAGTCAGCCGAGCAGCTAGGCACCATAGTTAATTACCCTCTTGCAGCTTTTAGTAGGCGGGACAGACGCTTAAGCCGGCCAAGCTGACAGTAATCTAGTGAGACTCCCCACAGGGATAGATCGATCTAAAAATCTATGGAAATGGGGTGAAATATGAGTTTGGGCATCAATATACAAATAATTATTTTAGATCGCCAATTGATTTGGAACAATGTTGCATTCTGTATGGCAGTTATGAGTAGAATTGGCATATGAGACGTACGAAGTACCATTGCCTATTTTGTCAAAGTACATACTCGTGTACTGTACCTAGTAAAACCTGAATTTTGACAGGGCACATCACTTGTGAATTTAACAAGTTTAACTGTTGAGTATACTCAACACGATGGTGTAATGATTTAAATTGATTTTTTTGATTAAATTTACCTTCAGACGGTTGAACATGTATTCCTCACCGCCCCGTGTATTTTGTTCAGTAACCTTTGGTACATTGACCCGGGTTTAATGATCAGCTTGACACGAAGATTGACCCGCACGACCCTGTTAACCGATAACGCGATTTGAGCGGACGATCTTTCATGGGCGCAGACATATTGGATACTACCCACAATGCAACAAAATTCGCTTACAACAAAAGTAATTCAATCTGAAATTTGAGTTAATTTCTATCTCAAATGAAAGTTTTACATGTTTTGAGAAATATTATTGATTATAAAAGAAAGAAATCTAGGAACTTGGCAAATGTAAATGCGAAATGAGGAAGAATTGAAACCAGCGTTTTTTTTCTCCTAAGCACAGTGACATAACGTGTAAAGCTTTCTCTTGTATAACTCAAAACTGTGAGAGAAGAGAACGAAGTCTGTAAAAGTTGCCAATTGTTAGTGGGGTTTGTCCTGAAATATGCTGAGAAGTGGTGTAATGCAAGCATTCATAGTAGGGCGGACGACTCAGGTAAATTTTAACCCACTGGAATATACACGTGTGTAGGGAACGTGAAAATTACAGGCAACACACTACCGGCTGAACAACATGCACATGCATGGGTGTGACTGAAATGCGCAATACACTGCAATACATGTACTAGTACAGGGGTACATGCATGTACTTGTAGTTGAATGCATTGTGCATATGTACAGTGTTGGGCTTGTAACTGGGTGTTATGAATAAAAATTTAAAGGATTTTCCCCACTATATATCTGTTTGATTTTCATTATCTTTTCAGAATTATTTTTTGAGTTGCCTCCTCTATTAATATAATTAATTAGTACATGTACAATTAGTTTGACAATTAATTAGCTAATTTAACAGTGTTTAATGATATCTACAGTATTGAGTAGCCATGGCTGGTGTGAAAATTTGTCGTACTAGTAATCTCATTGGTCATGCAAATAACCTAATAAAAGGATTAATAAAAAAAGATTAAACATTAGAATATTTCCAAACTAATTTATTTAATTAGCAGATACACTGATTAAAGTTATCACACAATGAAAAACTTAATTTGGATAGACATTACAAATGAGTGAGTTTTAGGGTTTGAGGTGGGGGGGGGGGGGGTGCTGCACAAGTACCAAAAATCATAAAATCTAGTGACAGCATGTCAATTACTTACTAAGAGCTGTACATGGACTGATATTTGTATCTCTAACTACTTTAACAGGTATACATATTCTGGGGTAGCGCTAGCACTTGCCAATTTAGCCAAATGCTAAAACTGACTTAATTTGGCTAAACAAAAAGGACTTGATTTGGCAAATTTTAGTCAAATTAAAACTATTTTCATAAGAAATTGACAAAAAAGTGATGATTTGGCTAAGCGAAAAAAATTGCTAGGGCTACCCCAGATATTACATGTACATTCAGACATGCACAGCAGGTGCTCATGTAGCGCAAAACAAGTTTTCTTTCATGAGCAAACTAATGTTTTCTCTCTTTTCGCCAGTCCACACTGCAGAGGTGTCAACAGTGTCTACTAACACGTCAGGCTGCCATGGCAACTACAACAACCAATCGGCTACCTCAGAGTAATACAGTAAATGATAGTTTGAGAGGATACATATGCAGTTCTAGACAATATCTACCAACCAGGGTATGAAATACAGAAAAAAAGTGAAATTCAGTTTTTGTAGATCCATGTACCAGTAGTACAGTATAATGAAAATTTCTTTCAGTATTACTAGTACTGTAATCATGTTTTTTTTAATTTATTCAACTCATTTATCTGTGCAATTTCAACCTTTTGGCTACAATGTTTTAAAAAAAACTTTTCATTCTTATAATTTTTTTAAAGTATAATTATGTAAAGGTGATATAAGGTGGATTTTTATTGTAAGTTTGAAGTTTTCAACAATTTAACTTTCTAGCTGATACAGTAAGATTGCCACTACTGGGATGCTAAAGACAGAACAATCCATGTGAATTTCATTTTATTATAATTATTATTTTTTTGTGTGTGTGAATGTTTGTGGTACAAAATATATATTCAGATGTGAATCTAAGTCAGAGTGCGATCTCTGCCCCCGAGCAGGGCCCAGTGCCCACCCCTCCCCCAAAAATGGCATCTACATACAAGAACATATATTGAGTTACTTCTGTATGAAGTTTTGAGGCAGCCATTCTTTAGATTTTCTTGGGTATCTGTGAAATACACTTTTGTTAAGTAAAAAATATACTAGCACTGGTTTTGTACTTGGATACATGTTAAATATTCAAATGTTTTATTGAAGACTTCGATTAAGTGGCCTTATTTATAAAAACATTTTTTTCAGAGATATAAAAGTTCAACAACTGTGGTGCCGCAAGAATTCAGAATCATAGTCACTCCAATTACTGAAAGAAACACATTTGTACAGTTTACAGGTGTTCATAAACTGTTAGATAGGTCAGATATCAAGGTAAGGAGATGATTGATGTTTTAAAAATAATATTAAAAGGTTAACGACTGTTCATATGAGATTCAGTAAGTTCTGTAATTAGTACATTGTACACAAAATATTCAAATACAATACATTTCATTTTGCCACCAAAACGATGTTTATTCCAACAAATCTGAAGCGTGTGCTTGCCATCCGACCATATGGACCTACAAAGATGGCTGCCCTCCTTAGTAATCCCTTAAGAGATTATTACAAAAAATGCCCTTTTTTACTTGTATGCACATAATATATCAACCACTTCCTGTTTAACCTATCTAGGGAAAAGTTGTACCTTTTTTTTTTCTTTTAACACAACTCATGTTTTAACATTGAAATTATTTTATGGATAAATAAGTGTTGAAATTAGTGTTAAAGAAAAAAGAATAAAACACAGATTTAAGTGAAAAGTAAACTCACTAAATCAGCTATCAATATTTGTATTGGCATTAAATTTTTGGTGTTTCAGAAGGTCATGTTGAGGGCGTACTCTTGCTGTGCTGAGCTATGGGAATATGAAGATTTCTTACAGGGTATGTCCCCCTCTACTAGGGCTTTATTCCCATTGAAACTGTTGGTCTACGTAGATTGATCCAATCCCATGGGGAATCTCGCTGAAAGCAATCAGTTTCACAGATTGTCATGCCTCCTGCAGGCATTGAGTAGAATACAGTAAGCTGGTGATTATATGAATATGTTGGTAGTCACAGGAAATGCGTTAATCTGTTAAACTGATTGCAATCGGCGAGAGACCCCCACAGAGTTGGATCCAGAACAATTTGCTTTCATTGGGAACAGGCCCTAAGGAGTCACTGACACAGAGCAGTCCCAGAGCAGTTACTGGGACTTGCAATTTGACATTTTTACATTTAAATTAATTATTTATTTTTACTGAGTCATTTTCAATTTTACTGTGAGATGTATGAAGATGTTTGGTTAGGCTCCATTCAGAATAGGGGACTAACTAGTCTGAGGGTCAAATATGGTGACCCACTACAAAGCTTGCCTTGTAATCAGCCAATAGACACTGAATAGATGTAGAATATTTGATCCTCCGACTAGTTATAGTCCCCTATTCTAAATTGGGGCCTTCAATTCAAACTATTGGAGGTAAACTATTAAAATATGAAGCTGTTGATTGAAGAAAAATAACTTTATTTTTACTGTGAGACCAGTGTTTGCGTCTCACACTGTGTTCATTTTTTCACCGTTTAATTTCGTAACAGGCTAAGACCCCATTCCCATAGATTTAAGATCGATCTATCCCTGTGGGGAGTCTCACTAGATTACTGTCAGCTTAGACGGCTTAAGTGTCTGTCCCGCCTACTAAAAGCTGTAAGGGGATAATTAATTATCGTACGTGCTCGGCTGACTGCAATTTAGCATGAACCCCTAGGGAGTTTGGTCGATTCGGACGGATCGATATAAATCTCTGGGAATGCACTCTAAAAGTCATAGAAAGCAGCCTCAGAAAGATTTTGGATTCACTTTTTGCTTTCAGAATTTGACCTGGAAGATTCATTCGAGACCTGGGCAACTCTCACAATGCTGCACATGTGGTAGGTGAAGGTTGGCAATCAGCTGCATTTTTTTAAAGGGATAATAACTCTTCGTTTTGGCCAAAAATGAATTTTCCTGGAGTAAACAACAATTTTCCCATACTTACCAATGGTTAATGAATCCATTTTTACATTCAAAGTTAGTCCCTGGTTTTTTTCTAAAAAGTTTGGTTTTTTGTTAAAATCTCTTAAGAGATTATAACAGAGTATAGCCATCAATGGAGGTCACGTGATCTGAAGACAAGCTCAGATATCAGAATAATAGCTACAACTGCTGTTTTCGTCGTAAAACAGAATATATTATATTTCTGTGAGTTATTCACAATGTTTTTATTGTGAAATATAGATTTCATACGAAGAGTTATTGTCCCTTTAAGTATCTCAGAAAGTTTAAAATTCAGTAGGTTGAAAATCAGTCAAGCGACAGTGATAAAAATGTTTAAATATGTTGCTAGTTATTATATATTACTGCTTCAAATTGTATCAATTTAAGCAATAAAATTGAAATGTTTTTCTGATGTGAAGCATTGCATATTTTGAAAAAAGAAAACCTTAATATTTTGTTGAAATGATGTTTGAATGCAATGAGTCATCCCTTAAATTTTTAAAATGGCAAGAGCCAGAAAACACAGTAGATGATTTGTCAGTTGTCAAATCACAGTTGTGGCATGACGGGTACTGTAACAGTTATATTTTACTTTTTTGTCAGTTGTGCCATGACGTATGTATCAGTAGTGCCATGATAATTGTGTCAGTAGTAGCATGACAAATGTGACCAGTTGTGGCATTACATGTGACCATTGTGTCAGTTGTGGCATTACATGTGACCATTGTGTCAGTTGTGGCATGACAAATGTGACCATCGTGTCAGTTGTGGCATGACATGTGACCATTTTGTCAGTTGCAGCATGACATGTGACCATTTTGTCAGTTGCAGCATGACATGTGACCATTTTGTCAGTTGCAGCATGATATGTGACCATTGTGTCAGTTGTGGCATTACATGTGACCATTGTGTCAGTTGTGGCATGATGTGACTATTGTGTCAGTTGTGGCATGATGTGACCATTGTGTCAGTTGTGGAATATGTGACTTATTGTCACAGTGTCAGTTGTTGCGTGATGATTGCATTACTATTGACATTATAGTTTTGACATGACAAAATGCAAGTTTGAACATGACAGCTGTGAAATTATATTTGTTGTGTTCTGACCTGTGTATCGGTTGTGACCATGACATGCATTTAAGCTGTGGCATGGCAATAGCTTTCCTCTTGACTTGACAGTTTTGCAGTTTTGACACATTACACATTGTGACTCTGTGTGTCACTGTCACATGACAATTATGGTTTTTGTGGCATGACATTATATGACATGACATAATGGTTGTTATGACATGACATAACATGACGTGGCATACTGGTTGTTGTGACATGACACAACATTACATGACATGACATGACATACTGGTTGTTGTGACATGACATTTGTGTTGGTGAAGGCCTGAAATATTTCATGCTTTTTCCAGGCTATTGGCAGTCAGAATAAATCGTCCTGGAGAAGATCTCAATTATAATGTCAAGACATACAAAGAGAACTTTGGTGAACTGTTTATGGAGGATGTGGAAAATAGACTGAAAGCTTTAGGTGTAAGTTGGAGTTTTGTCATTGTTATTATTATTATTATTATTATTTTTTTTTTTTTTGTTCTGTAAAAAGTACTGTACTGCTGTTCAACTTCATTAGTTTTCATGTTTTGAATACCCTTAATCATGCAAATCAATGAACTTATAGTCACAGTTGCATGAATTCAGATATTTGAGATAAAAGGTTCATTTTATGCGTTAGAACATATTTAACTTGTTTTAGACAAATAATAATAAATTATAATTTTAGAAATTATTAATTTAAAATTTTCAAAGCAAAATCAAAACAATTTTCAGTATTAAAAAAAGTTGCATGAGTTGGAAATAATGTACAGTCAAGCTAGTAGGGTGGTTCATTCCAATTTCTCCATGATTTATTAAAGCCTAGGTCCCAACTACGTTTTGGACGCACGGTTTTTAGGTTCCTTGCGTCCGTCTAGGACGTAGCTAGATCGCAGGGAAGGAATCGGGAAGGAGTTCGTGCGTGAGGAGCACGTCTATCGTGCGACTTTTGGAGGACGCAAACAGCACGTAGAAACTTTTCGACATGATCAACAGCCGCTACGTGTGATCTAGCTACGTCCTAGCCGAAAGCAAGGAACCAAAAAACCGCGCGTCCAAAAAGTAGTTGGGACCTAGGCTTAACTTTCTGACATGATCAACAGCCGCTACATGCGATCTAGCTACAACCTAGCCGGAGGCAAGGAACCTTAAAACCGTGCGTCCAAAACTTAGTTGGGACCTAGGATTAAAATAGGGCGCATTCAGAACAGACGATCTTTAGACTAACTGATCTGTCGACTAAAAATGGCCGACCCCACTTAGAAAGCAATGCCACTTATTCCATGATGGTTTCCAAGCCTCCACATGCTCCGTCACTGCAGGGACCTAGCAATTAAACCTCGGAGCTGAGATTTAACATGTAAAATGGTGCGTGTGAGGAGCTAGGCCATCATGGAATTAGCAGCTTCGCTTTTGAAGTGGGGTTGGCCATGTTTAGTCTGCCGATCAGTTATTCTGCAGATTGTCCGTTCTGAATGCGCTCATAGAGGCCATTCCCAGAGACTGTGTTACTAACTTTGAATCGATCTATCTCCAAGGGGGTTCTTACTAAATTGCTATCAACTTCTGTAGCTTAGATGTCTCACACGCCCACTGAAGCTGTAAGAGGGTAATTAACTATAGTTTGGCGGCTTCAGTTGGCGTGCCAGACATATAAGCATTTTAGCGACAAACCCCTTGGAGATGGGTTGATCCAGTTAGATTGATCTAGGCATGGGAACCCAGTCTTGGTGGTATTGAAAATATTGTCCAATACATTTCAGAGAGAGATAATTACCTTGGCAGAGAGGGATGAAGCGAAGGAACACTTCTGGGGCCTATTTCAGCACATGTTGCTAGGGATGGACGAGGTAAATGTAATAGAAAAAAAAAATACTGCACCCAGTTTCATCTGACATCAACACCGAATAGTGTTGTCCTATGGATAACACCATCCACTACATATAATTGTTCTCATATGGACTGAATGTAGCGATGTTTCACAGACATGTACTGCTTGCTTCTTTCACTCTGATATTTGTTAAAAAAGCAGGCTGTCATCAGCATAACAGTCCATAGAATAACGATGTGCGCATTTAGAACAGTGAACTAACAGATCTGCAAATTAAATATGGCTTACCCACTTGAACTTTAAGATACTTTTGAAGGCTGTTAGAAAAAATCTCTGGATCTGCCCATGTAAAATATTATCATGTCCTTTTCAGGGTATGTTGAGTGATGACAAGTGCCTGGCGGGGGCAATATGGAGGCATGTGTTTCATGTTAAACCTAAAGAACCAGAACACTTAGCTTCCATGGTGGAATATGTCAGAAAACAGGTGGGTTTTTTTTCAGTGTCTTTTGAGTTTCTGAATGCGGGTATAAAATTGAATAAGCTTCATTTCATGAAGGTGCATTAGTTTTGAACAGAATGAGATTTTTATGTAAAGATGGTGGAAAAAAGTGAGTTATATTTGAAGAGAGAAAAAAATTTTTTTGCCTCTTCAGTTATTATTCAATAAGACCCTTTTGAAGAGAGTTAACGTGATTTTACTTGTACAGCATGACAGTACAAGATATGAGACAAATTTTGTTTAAATAAGTAAGGGCACTATTGGATAAAATTTAATGGAAATGCTCATTGATTCAGAAGAAGATATAATTTAGAAGGATGAGATTTTTCTGACTATCGGAGGATTTCCGATTTTTTGGGAGCCAAAATATCATTGCTCTGTATGGTCCCTTAGACCTCAGGTCATATTTTCAGACTTTTGCACTAAATGCACTAGTGCACTTGATTTTGTCTTAATAATAATAGAGTGCAATTTTAGATCACAAATGATCTTACATGATCCTAATCATTACCACACTAGTCTTAAAGGGATAATAACTCTTCGTTTTGGCCAAAAAATGAATTTTCCTGGAGTAAACAACAATTTTCCCATACTTACCAGTGGTTAATGAATCCATTTTTACATTCAAAGTTAGTCCCTGTTTTTTTTCTAAAAAGTTTTTTTTTTTTTTTGTTAAAATCTCTTAAGAGATTATAACAGAGTATAGCCATCAATGGAGGTCATGTGGTCTAAAGACAAGCTCAGATATCAGAATAACAGCTTTATATGCCTTTATTGTGGTACAACAGAATATATTATATTTTTATGAGTTGTTCACAATGTTTTTATTGTGAAATATCGATCTTATACGAAGAGTTATAATCCCTTTAAGCTGGACTGAGTCTGCTTTTAAGATCAAAAATGATCTAACATCTACATAAGTGGTCAAGTGATTTCCTCCCCTCTCAGTGGAGGACACCTCTGTTCACAATAGGAGAACATGTGAGAAGAGACAATTGCATTACAATTTAATTGGAATTCGGTCCGGTAATGGTATAACTTATGGTTTAAGACCATGTAAGATTGTTTGTGATCAGAAATTGCACTATAAGACCAAGTCGGGTGCACTAGTGATGGCAGTCTCATGGATGGATTTTTAAAAAACATACAAAATCAAATAATGCTTTTAAATGTTAGGCAGTGACTTATTTTATTTTATTTTTTATTTATTATTATTGTTTTTTTTTGCCATGTATGTACTTGACAGTAACATCAAAAAAGTAAAATTTATTTTGTCAACCCCCCCACCCTCCCCAATTCTTTCATGGGATATGAACAGATTGAAGTTTTACATAAGGAGAAAATAAGTTTCACGAAAGTTAATTACCCCTAGCTGATATGGTAGGCATGACACACATTAAAACTGCTGAAGTTGATTGGAATTTAGCATGAATCCCCATAGACCTAGACTGATCCTGCTGGATCGATTTAGGCATGGGAACCCAGGCGTGTTACTAAATTTAATAAATATGCTTTTGATATTTCAGATTTACCACTTAGACAACACGTCTTCTGAACAAATTCTCGGGAAAGGATGCGTGACATTTGCAAGGTTAAAGAATGATTCAGCAGACACTGCAAAAGCAATACACGTCTGGAGAAAAATGCCCTTCGATGTAAATGATTCATGAAAATACTAGAAAACTAGCTGGACAATGTTATGTTGCCATGACGACACACCACACTCCTTTTTCAGCAAGAATTTTTGTTTATTTCTGTTACAGTAACAATACACGTTGTGAAAGAGGCAGCATATTTTGTCTCTTAATTGAAACATTTATTGCTCATAATGATAACTTTTTTTTTTTTTTGAAAAAAACAAAACAAAAGGGCATGTTTGGGTTTGAAGAGACTTTCTTTTTTAGCCCAGGATTCTTCCAAGCCTGGTTAATATACAGGACCCAGTTTCATAAAGGACTTTTAGCACTAACCACTGGATAAATTCTCCTAACACCTGTTTACTAAACAATAGTTAAAAATGTGTTTCATAAACAGTTTTCAAACAGCCTGTGAGTTAAGTGGCCAGTGTTTAACTGGACAAAATATTTAAACGTCTATTAACTACCCGGCTGGTTAGTGCTTAAAGTCCTTTATTAGACTGGGCCTAGGTGTTTTGCTTAAACCACAGGTGGAATTGAAAGCCTAAAATAAGAATCATCCCAAACTAACCACTGGTTAACGAATCCATTCTGACATTCAAAGTTAGACCCTGTTTTTTCTAAAATGTTAATTTTTTTTTTTGCAATAATCTCTGAAGAGATAATTAAATTCGACTTAAGAGATTATTACAGCAGGTAGCAGTCTATGGAGATCACATGGTCTGATGGCAAGAAAAGATTTCACAACAGTTGTGAAAACTGCTGTTTTGGTGGTAAAAAGATAATTTAGTATATTTCTGTCATTTACTATGCATTTATGTGACATGGATCTCTTACGAAGAGTTGCTATCCCATTAAGATGTAACAGTTTCCTGGGTTTCATTAAAGAATACACATTTTGAAGTCATGGTCATTGTTGCATGGTATTACAAATTGAAGGTCAGGGAAAAGCGTGTATACCTTAAGGTTTTTCTTTCAATTTTTATTATTGCGTTGGTAAATAGAGAGAGTCAAAGAATGTTTTCATTTTTCATGTCATATATTTATTTCACATCACATAAATAACAATTCGGGATCAAATAAATATGATGGGCAATTTTGATACAGTTATCTAGTTTTCATGAAATTTAAAATTTTTACCATCACATTGCTGAGCACTTTGCATAAAAAATTAAATATATACATTTCTTGTTCCACATTTTATCAGTTGAAAAGTTCTTATTTCAATAACAATTCACAGAGGAAGTGGACCTTTAAAAACATCCAGAAATGGCAAGTGCCCATGGTGCACAGCTTGTGGTGGGTATGGGTGGCAATAATACAACACCCAAATACCTGGATTTCTGGATAAATGTGGACTACTTTCATCTCTATCAATTAATTCATAAATTTACTAAAACCAATAAGATGTATTGATTTGTTTTTGGTCAAAAACGAGGTGTTTGCAATTAAGCCAAAAAAAAAAAAATATATATATATATATCCTCCCTGAATCAAGAATATATATAAATTCTATTATTATCATGTAAATTGTGAGGCAATACAACTTGAAACTGACACAACCATTTCACCTGATAAGGACGTGGTCCCATTTCACAAAGAATCTCAAATCCGTAGTTTTGACTTGCTTGGGCAAAGTGACCTTGCTAAGTGGATAACAATGCAGTTGACCAGGAGTCTTTCATAAAGTCTGAAGTCCTAGCTTTGTTTGCTTAGGTGTTGCACTCCNGAAGACTTGGCCCATTCTAGCATATTCTCATAGACATTTCCATCATAGCGGCCCAGCACACTCTGAAGGAGGTGATCACTGAAGTCAAATGCATCCACCAGAGCCACGGCGTTTGGCCTGATGGCGGCCAAAAGGTCCAGCAATTTGGCGGTCATATTGTCCAGTTGGTCATATGACATGAAGCCACCCTATGAATGAAATAGACTGACGTCATGCAGTGTTGAGATTTTACTTTGTAAATGTTCAAAAGACGTTCCAAGCTTTACCCAAATGATTTTGATCTTATTGTTATCAAAGAGTTATACTCTCTCTTACATTCTACACACAAACAAGCTTTCTCGCTTTTCTCTTCTATGTGTCTCTCATGTACATCCCTACTATCTGTTTACACACACATACACACTAAACATCTCTCTCTCTCTCTGTCTCTCACACACACACACAGGTTGTAACACACACCATTTTTGTTTGTCTAACACACTTTCTCTCTCATCTCCCATTCCATCTCCTCTCTCTCTTCTACACGCACACACTCTCCCCCATCTCCTTCCTCTCTCTTTTACACACACATGCACACACACACACACACACACACAAACTCTCTCTCTCTCTCTCTCTCTCACACACCAACTCTCCCTCTCTCTCTCATCTCTTTCTCTCTCTCACACACACAAACACACAACCACTCAAGAGCCAGATACAATGTCATGTATTCCACAGCATTCCTACCTGCAAAAAGTCTCCAGCATTATTCAGGATACCATCCACAGCAAACAGCTGACACAGCTGAGTCAACACCCTGGCAACATCCTCATGGTGGCTGTATTGTTCAATGGAATCTACAAAGTTCTTCAGCACATAGCACTGGACATGGGCCTGGAAAAATAGGTCACCATAAAATAAGGTCACAGATTAAAGTGGTCATGGGCCTAGGAATGGAAAATTTGTCAACACAAAAGAAGGGTACCAGTTACAATGCGCATGGGCCTGGAAAGATAGGTCAACACAAAATTAGGTCATCAATTACAGTAGGCAATAGCCTAGGGAAAAAGGTCAACACTGCAATTGGTCATCAATTCCAGGATGCATACATGGACCTAAAAAAATCCATTGCAGAGGACAGGAGCCGAAACAAAAGTAAATCATCTTAATCAACTGGACAGAGATCATTTGAATTCCTTACCTTGGCACAGTGGACTAACTGGACAGAGGTCATTTCAATTCCTTACCTTGGCACAGTGGACGAACTGGACAGAGGCCATTTCAATTCCTTACCTTGGCACAGTGGACTAACTGGACAGAGGTCAAGTTCCAGGCCACCTCCTGGGGTTTTCCTCTCTCCATGTGGGCCTTCATCTGCAGGGCAGCTTTACCAATTAACCTGAACACAAACAGGAAATTATACAGCAATGCTGGCAAATGTATAGATGTAAAACAGGAAGTTCAATGAAGCAGACAGGCAATGTGTAGATAAGTTGCCAAGATACAGTAGATGATGGACTTGAAAAAAAAAAGTCATCAAGGATGATATATAACAGACCATTAAAATAATAAAACCCCTCAAATCAAAATAACTTATGCAGGTAATTTCCTCCTCAAATGACTGCACTGGTAGATATAATAGCAGTCCAAATATCTGGCAAGTCATTAAGAAATTATATATATATATATATATATATATATATATATATATATATATATATATATATAAAGGGAAACTGAGTGTACTGAAGGGATAAGTTGAGCAAAGACTGGTTAGAAAATTGCTTTTATCCTAGGGAAAGTTACCATTTTGGCCTTAAAATCCCAGACTGGACACCAAAAACATCTCATACCTTCTAGCCCTGTGTTGATATGCAGATACCAGACTGACCAAACTAAGGTCATCACCAATCATGCACCTGTCCAGTCCTTTCTGATTTAGGTAAGCCACAAAACCTGGCAACTCATTCCCCTGGGCTGCTTGTCCACACGCTTTCATTAAATATCTGAAACAAATTCAAAACAGTTCCATTTATAATTTGATATAATGTAATAATAATTTAAAAGTAAGAGCTAATTACAACTCCTTTCCGTGCACAGTATGTCTGCAGGCCTTCATTAAAAAGTTAAAACAAATATGCTCAATTTTTTATTCTTACATTGCTGATAATACACTGTTTTTTACAAATTACCAAATTTATACCTGAAACAGGGATTTCCCCAAGATTTGGGGTACAGAAAGTGCAAAATGTGAATCTGTAATTAGGTCACTGATTTACAAGGAGTCCAACTCAAAAGTTTTGTAAGACGTGCAGCTGTCTTTCCAAATACAGGTTGTTTTTTTAGGCTAATGGCAATGCAAAGGATGGCCGGATGGCTCTCTGGGGAAAGCCTTGACCAGTCACAATGAATTGTAAAATAAACATTCTGTGCTGCATTTCTTAATAATGTCTTACAGTATTTCTATCAGGGATGGATATTTTCTGACCGTCTTCCAAATTTTCTTTCGAAATCCATCCTCCATTTACGACCATCTTCCAACAGAAAAATCAGATGCACGTGAATGTGAACTTGAAAATCTGACCGTCTTCCGAAGACCCAGAAGACAGCCTTAATCTGCCCCTGAGCATTACCTTGCAGTCTGTAGCATCATCACTGTATTCTCTCCCTCATATGTACATCCCGGTGTTGCATCCACGTAGATCTTTGGCAGACCACTGGCGTGTGAATAGCCGTGGCCACCACATGACAGTCGACATGTCTCGATACCTTCACTGGCTGCCCAGGTGCTCATAGCTTTCAGACCTGCTGACAGGGCATGGAGCTGAAAGAGAGAGAGGAAAAGAAAAAAAACAATGAGAACAAAAAATACATTAAATTTTCTACCCGAACAATTAATGTGAAGATTGGTAAAAAATAATTTTTTAAAAGACTAAATATGCTTTTCATTAATGATGCAGGATGTTTTGACCCTTCACTTCTCTTCTGAAACATTGTTCTTTTGTAATCTTTCATTATATGACAGTTATTGAAAAACATATTTTAAGTCATAAGTAAGTTTTAAAAGTTAGTATACACATCCTTTTTCTCTCCCTTTCTTTCATAAATCATGTCTAAAGAAGTGTGGCAATAAAGACATATGACATATTAAGTTCAACCACTATGTACACTATTTGATTTGAATAAAGTTGGGAATTACCATACCACTGAGCACACACCAAATCACTAGAACATGTATTGGTATGTTGAAGACTTTACATACCTCTGGTAACTGCTTAAAGTCCCCAGCCATGATTTGACTCTGGATATCCAGGTAGGTCTCCCTCATGGAGCGACCAGCAAACCAGTAGGCATAGCTGGTGGCCAGCAAGGGAAATAACTTGTGTTGCTGGGTTTGGTAGTCCAAAACCTGTGGCTCTGGTTCTCTGAATTAAAAAAAAAAAAATTAAAAAAAAAAAAAATAATAATAATAATAATAATAATAATAATAGTTTGGTAGTCCAAAACCTGTGGCTCTGGCTCTCTGAATTAATAATAATAATGAAAATAGTTTGGTAGTCCAAAATCTGGGGCTTCGACTCTCTGAATTAATAATAATAATAATAATAATGATAATAATAATAATAATAATAATAATAATAATAATAATTTATGTTTATTTTGCCATTACAAAACAGTGTCTCTGAGTAAAATGTGAGTCCTTTTGTAACAAATTAGACTCATGATGGACTACAGACAGTAATCTGCACAGTCAGTATCAAAAGTAGTCTATAGCACACAGACAACCAAATTAAATTTGTAAGACTTAATATATGTATGACCAATAATGCATATCATATTCTTAAAGTAATGCATGTTTATATTTTTGCTCATTGACAGTTAAATTTCTCTCATAATTCCACCTAACAAAAATAAAATAAAATAAAATAAAATAAAATACAATAATAAAAATAAAATAAACAAATTAATAAATTAATTTTAAAAAATGCACACATGATTATCCGAATGCTGAATTTCGTACTAAGTAGTTTTTTAGGCCCATAAGTCATAATGACCAGTCACATACAATGTTTCAGTCCCAGAATCACCATCTTACCCTGGCTTCATCTCAGATTGTCGTCTTATTGCACTGTATCTTATAGCAATGGTACAGGCCTCTGCAAGTTGTCTTGCTGCATTACTAACAATTCCGGATCGTACAGTAACCATCGTGCCGTAAGTCAGCTTTTCATTGGCTTTTCTGATGTAGCGACCATCTTTGGTAACCTTCAGGACAAAGCAAACTTGAAAAGACTAACTTTTAAATTTATTTTATTAAAACCGACCGCAAAACACTATCCATTAGAGTAAACACTCAATTTTTCTTACTTTTCTTAGTTTTACTTTCAAATTGCCCGAATAATATATATATATATATATATATATATATATATATATATATATATATATATATATATATATATATATGCACTTAATTAACTAAACATCTTTCAATACAGAAAGTTATTACTAATTAATTAAATTCAATCAACAAGTTGCATGCCTTAATGCACTTTTTCTTTTGAATATATATCATTGCCACAAATGTATATAATTGATATACGTTACCTCAGAATATTTCATCAGCATGTTGTCCCGTGGTATGTGGACATTGTGATAACGTAAAAAGCCATTGTCCACTGTCTCATAGCCAAACTTAGGGCCAATATCACCCACCTCTATGCCTGAAATGTAAAACATAATAATAATAATAATAATAATAATAATAATAATAGTCAAACTTGGGGTCGATATCTGTCACCTCTATCCCTGATGTGATAATCACAATCATTTTCATTTTTGGTTTATTAGCTAAGTATGAAATATTATCCTGAACCAGATTTTATCACAAAAATTGGTACAATTGACCACTAGTTTATGTGCTTCAATCACATGCCATCATTTTGGTTAAAATAGCACCACATAGCACCTGGCAATGGCTGGTGGGTTTCCATGTCTCTGTGTTAGACAATGAAGGCAAGTATACCATGACATTTATATATAATATCACACAGTACCTGGCAATGGCTGGTGGGTTTCCATGTCTCTGTGTTAGACAATGAAGGCATGGATACCATGACATTTATATATAATATCACACAGTACCTGGCAATGGCTGGTGGGTTTCCATGTCCCTGTGCTGGACAATGAAGGCATGAATACCATGACACTTGCCACCTGTGTACAGCTGGGCCAAGACTACAGCATGGTTGGTGGTCTTTCCCACTGAATGAATGAATGTATGGATAAATAAATAAATAAATAAATAAATAAATTGAATGCACATAAAACTTAAAAAAAAAAAAAAAAAAACGGACTGAAAAATTAGTTATTGAATTCTGGGTAGTGCTAACACTCGCCAAATTAGTCAATGCTAAACTGACTTAAATTGGCTTGACAAAACAAGGTTGATTTGACTTGTTTCAGCCAAATTTTATCTATTTAGTGAAAACATGATGAAAAAGTAGTGATTCGGCTACTTGAAAAAAAAAAAAAAAAAACTGAAATTGTATATTTTTCAAAAAGGCACTCAAAATCATCTAATTTTAAACTTACAATAATTCTTGGCAACAACATACTAAATACACACTAATTAAAATCACAAATCTTACAATTTCCAGGCCACCATTTGGTAGAAGTCAGAGTAGGGCTGTTAATAATAAACTCCTCAGTTTGGGGATCATAGGTAGCAGTAGTTTCCAGACCCCTCACAAATGTGCCTGGAATTGGTCAGAATTTCACATTAAAGTATCAGCAAATTAATCAATTTTTCAATTAAAAACCAATTAATTAATTAATTAATTAATAAAAAGAGATAACATATCATTACTATAACATTTTTGTTTTTCTTTATTATTACATTATCTTTTGATTAAAATTGTCCACACTTGAAACTTATCCCATTCTATAAAACATTGACAAACATTACCATTATATACGTGAATTCAAATATTCTTAAATAACATTATGTTTTGTTTTTCTGAATAAACATTATATTTTGGTTTCAATAACTGCTACTTAAAACTTTTGCTTATTTCCCACACCATAAAGCAATGTTACTGATATATAAGTCAAAATCTTATGCACTGGCAAGGTAAAACTGACCGGTCTTAATAATTCACAGCCATTAAGAAAAATAAAATAGACACAACCCCAAAAATGACAACTTAATATTTTTTTCTAAAATTGGACTGTAGAAGCTATCAACCCCCTTTCCCCCCCCCCAAAAAAAAAAAAAAAAAAATCAGCATCCCTCAAAATGCTACCAAAAATGACCATAACAAGAAAAAACAATATACCAAAAAAAAAAATTATATATATATATATATATATATATATATATATATATATATATATATATATATATTAAAAAAAGAACAAAAAAGCAGAAGCAGTCACAGATAAGCCAAGCTGTCAGTTTAAGGCGAGGCTACATCTCCGTGAAACATTTTTTTCCACTGGAAACTGCCAAAAAAGTCAAAGTCTTTCAGTTATTTTTGCAAGCATTTAAATTAAATTTACTAATATTGACATTTTTGATATGAGGCATGTGATCAGTGAAAGAATGGATGTTATGCAGCATTTCAGACTCCATAAATGGAGAGAGCATAGGCAAAGAGAACTTGCTTTTGCATACAAAGCTTCATGGAAAATAAATTTAAATAATTTTCATATTTGTGTTTGTACTGGAGTACAAAATTTATGTGAAAAAGCACCTGTGACAGAGGAACCACTGCGTAAGCAGATAATATAATGTAAAGCATTGCAAGCAGTTTATTTATTACATTTTCATTTTTTAATTATATTTCCTTTATTAATCATTAAAAAATTAAATATGAAAAATATTTTCACATTTTTGTGACAGGCATATTAAACAAACCCAGTCATATTCTTACTTGTTGTGGTACATGTGCGACATACCTTTGGTCTTTGGGGACAACAAGGATTAAAATAAACATTTCTTTAAAGCAACAGCCAGTGATCACAAATATTAACAATTTTTTTATAAATCTCAGCTTAAATTTGTTTTGTATTTAATATCATTGACTACATCCAATAAAGCAATGGGGAAATCTCAAATTATGGAAAAATTGCCAATTTTTTTGCAATCAAATTCTTTCCTGATTGACAATAATCATGCACATGTGCAATGAAAGCAAGATGAAGCTTTTCTTAATTTCATCTTACCATGACCCAACTCAGTTTGAGCATAGGTCCCAATAACAGTCAAATTCTCACACAATGGCAGCCATTTTTCTCCCTGTTTCTCACTGCACTGGGCCATAAGCATTGGAATAAACATGCCATATTGAAGGGCCAAAGGAGAGTTTTCATGGGGAGCCGAAAAACTGGAGAAAAGATGATTTTACTAATGCATATCAAATGTTTCCAATACATTGAGGCAAACTTTGGCTTTGCTCTCAGGTGAATTTTTCACTCCTCAGGTTTTACTAGTGCAATTTCTTTGGGAAGAAAAAAACACTGTAAAAAAATGATTTGAATTCTTTATCAAATGTGTTTATTTTACCATGTCCTAGTACAAAAAGTTAAGGTTTTTTTTTCACTTCAAATATACTTATAGTTAAACTTATAGTTAAACTTCTTATTGTGACAGGCATGTAAAAGTTTTTTTTTAATATAAACACATAGTTTTCTGTAAGGTACTACAAATGCTTTTAAAGGCCTTGTGAAGTGTAGTTGACATAATTGACCACAAGTGTAGGGGCTACAATCACATTGTCAATTTTATTTAAATGTTTTTGTTATGGATTCATGAGTCCCTCTTTACAGATCTTTATTAAACAAAGGCATCACTTTATTTTATCAATAATAAAATCTGAACTAACACTTTTAAGATAAAATAATGGCATGGTTTTAGGATACTAAATGGTGTCATTAAATTGGCGTTAAAATGGTGTTCGTGGGTGTTCAGGTAAAGGAGACATTTGAAAAACCAATTTTTCAATTTATACCCCAAAATTGTAATTATGACATCATCCGCAAGATGGTGTGTGTAAATATCAAATAATTTAGTCACATAACACTAGAGATTTATCTGTTATCCAAAAGAATATATATAATGTAGTACATAAGGAGTTTTTTGGCAAAGGCTAACAGTATTCTAAAGGACCAGAATAATAAGTAAGCTTTTTGATTCACTTAGTCAGGTATAGACCTTTCCAGACATGAAATTATAATCAAGGGATCATGTTAGTGACATGAATGAAAAGAGCTGTTGTTACATAAAAAATACCAGCATGAAACATTGAAAAGTCAGACAGGCCCCTTTGAATATATCAATGCCATTATACACCTTAACAATGCTTAACACAGACTGCTAATGTTCAAGTTTTGCCAATGTAAATCAGACACATTATAATGCAGTTAATATTCTAAACATTATTACAGACATTTTTTGATCATCAAAACAGATTCCTGCTTGATATTTCGAAGTGTTTGTGCATGTATATTTAAAGCTCAGTCTTTATTTAAAAAAAAAAATAAATAAAATAAACATACATATTTATTTAAAATAAAGTTGGGTTCAGCTGTAAGTTGTTTATATTATAGTCTACAGATTATATTGTATTTGTTATTATATAAACATTAATATTTATGTAACAAAAGGTGGGGATCAGCTGCAATTTGGTAACATTATAGTCTACAACTTATATTATTTATTGGGTATTATTTTCCGTCATTGCGATCAATTTCACACACCACCAATTAATATAGACTATTTTGGGCTCATTTCCTGAATATTTTAAACTTTTACTTCATTAAATGGTAACCAAGCTGAAAAACTAAACAGCTATCCTCTAGAAGACCACTCCCAATCACATGCCTCATTTCAAATTTGACTTTTCTTATTTTTATAATCTATAACAAACAAAGCAAAATGGGTCCAACAATAATACATACAAAATGCTCCTCAGAGAAATGATAATTGAAAATGATAAAATGCCAGTTATTTAGCCCTCTGATTCCATCCTACGTATAAAACAATAAAAGCCTGCCTGTAAAACTCCATTTCTAATACCCTTTACCTGACTACATTGATGTCAGTTTTTAACTTCCTTACCACCCCCTTACATCAATAATCCCAATATTCATACTAGACTAGCACTCCTGTTTCTGACTGCCATCTCAGATTCTTTCCAGCCTTTCTATTGATACCAATTATCCCAATTTATGGGACTGGGTTCCCAATTTCCTTACCATGCCCCACCTCAGTCTGAGCATAGGTTCCAACTATTCTGTAACTTTCACATAATGGCAGCCATTTTCTCCTCTGTTTGTCACTGCCCTGTCCTGCAATTGCTGGGATAAACATAGTTGTGTGAAGGCCTATTGGAGAACTTTCATGGGGCATTGCACCTCTGTGGATAAGAAAGCACGTGCACACTCCTTCCCTCAATGTATATAAGCATTAACAAGAATAATTTCTTTTTTTAACTTTTCGGCCTGCATTCTTAGTTCGATATTGACATCGATTTTTGATGGCCCGGTTCATTAAAAGTAAATCTAGATGTATTTAGCTTTAGGTGTAGCAAACATGAGAGCTAAAACAAGCTCTCAATTAAGGGGGGTCGGTAGCCTAGCATGCTGTAAGACAAACACAACATTTACAAGCACAAACTCAATGAGAAATACTGTGATTATAATTGCATTTTAACAATTTAAATATTGGGAACATATCACCAAAGACCACAAAAGGGATGCTTAGGGACTGTTTTAAGACCATATATTTTTTAATGGAAGTGTTGATTGAGTCAATGATCACATGCCTCATACCAAATTTCAATAAAACTGAATTCCAATAAACTTTCCCAGAATAAATATATCAACTTTTTCACTTTTTTATATATGAAATCAAGTCAAGATTTCATATTCATTTTGCATGCCTAACATCAACAAATCAAATGTCCCAGACTTATTTCTTATGATACAGTAAAAGTAGTCTGCATCAATTTTCATCAACAAACCATTTCAATTTTCTTAAATTTGAAACTGGATGCTGAAACCCATAATCCCCAAACAATTATTGTTTCCTTATTCAATAAATATCATTTTAATGTGAATTAAAACTATAACTGCAATCAAAGAAACTCCCATAATCAACCGCCACATAAAAATCACAAGACAAATATCGGAAACATTGAATGTACCATGTCCCATCTCGGTCTGATTATACGTGAATATGATTTGATAGTTTTCCATCTTTGGCAGCCATGTTTGTTGCTGTTCGTCTGTGCCTAGAGAGCGCACACAGGGGATTGACACTCCTTCGTGAATGGCAAGGGGGGAATTCTCATGAGCTTGGTAGATGCTGAAGACAAATTATAGTACATTCAGAACAGCTGACTAATAGATCCACGGTTAAAACATGGTTACCCACTAAAAATCTGTTGCTTAATTCCCAATTATACACTGATCAGATTCCCTGCAGGGGTTATGCAACATGCATTCAAGTGGGTCAGCCATATTTGATTTGACGATCTGTTAGTTTGCCTTTCCGAATGCGCTTTAAGTATCATGGTAATGATTTGACCTTGTCAGGGGGGGAAATTGTGAGCTTTACTGATACTGTTTATTTTTTAAGTGATAAATTCTGAAAATAATATCATTTCTATTAAGTGGCAGCAACAAAATTTAAAACAGGTTACCCTATAATTCTATTCCATACAGTGAAATCACAAAACATTTATTCAGAATAGAATTTTTAGTGAATCCAAAATTATGTTCCTGTCAGATTAAATTTCCCCATTTAAAAAGATTCAAGTCATTACTATACAGTACATTCGAATGGCTTTGAAATGTTAAAGAGATCTCTCATCACATTGCAGAACACTCTTCTGGCTGGAAAAACGGAATTTCAGAGAATTCCCTGATCTCCATACCTACGCTAGAGGGTATTTTATGCAGATTTCTAACGAGTTGTTAATTGACAAACCATGAAATACTGGCAGATTCCCAACACAGTTATCCACAGGGTTGTATATATCATGGTAGAAATGGCTTGTTGGCCTTGTAACCGGGGGTTTAGAGGTCACTTAATGCAGAAAAAAAAAAAAAAAAAACTAGAAGAGCACTCAGAGAGCGCAGACCTCCGCCACGGCAGCGGTTTTTTATTATTATTGATTTTTGATTGATTATTGATCCTGATCATCACCAAAAACTAATCACTTCTAAGTTAACCCATTTCTGACCTACCCTGAAAATTTCATCTAAATTGGTCCATAACTTTTTGAGTTATGTTGATGAAAAACAGACAGAAAGATAGACAAACAGGGGCGAAAACATAACTTCCATGGCGGAGGTAAAAAAAGGAAAAAAACAGTGTCTGTAGAGCCACTGCACTGAGGTTACTTTAAAAAATCTTAAGGGTGAAATTATCATGAAATGTTTTAGGTAGGACCTGCTGTGAGCCTACTTCTACAGAATTGGTGTTGCTCAGTCAAAAATCAGTCTTTAATTAAAGGGAATTCAGAACAGCTACTTAAAAGGGATAATAACTCTTCGTATGAGATCTATATTTCACAATAAAAACATTGTGAATAACTCATAGAAATATAATATATTCTGTTTTACCACAAAAACGGCAGTTATAGCTATTATTCTGATATCTGAGCTTGTCTTTAGTCCACGTGACCTCCACTGATGGCTATACTCTGCTAAAATCTCTTAAGAGATTTTAACAAAAAACCAAACTTTTTAGAAAAAAACCAGGGACTAACTTTGAATGTAAAAATGGATTCATTAACCATTGGTAAGTATGGGAAAATTGTTGTTTACTCCAGGAAAATTCATTTTTTGGCTGAAAAGAAGAGTTATTATCACTTTAAAGCTACTCTTACAACCGGTCGTGCGTGCTTCTACGAGCGGTTTGCGTGCAAAAAATTGGCCAAGTAGTAAGATACACGCACGTGGAACGTACTGTTTTTGGTGGACGCAAACACGACGCAAAGCACGCAGCCCGAAAACTGGCCGGCCAGTGTTTCGCTACGACCTGCCTGTGACAATTAGAACGCCTGGAGCACGCTCGTAGCACGCAAGACAAAAGTACTGAGTAAGTGCGCTAGGCGTGCGTGTAACGCAGGAAAAGCATGCAGAAATTCCGGGGTATTTTGCCACGAAGACGTACTTACCACGCAAGAGACTCGTACTTTCAACTTGCTTTCAATGTACGTGTTAACAAAAAGGGGGGTGAGCGCATTTCCTCCGTGCGGTTATCTTACTTCCAAAGTGCGTGGCGAGTACTACTACCATACTTGTGAAGTGCGTCACACTAAGACGACGCACGTGCCCTGCACGATAAAAGTGCAGGCGATCCCGGGCAACCACTGCCAGAATTGCGTCACGATCTTCGGCCTCCTCTAGCATTAGCAGCTGTAGAAGTCGATGGCGCATCCTTCTTGGAAGTGCCATTTTGGTAGCTAAAACAGTAAATGATGAAGAGACTCGGTGCTCCCTTTTATTTCATTTTGATTATCCGTGCGTTCCACTTCCGTGCTTATTACGTTTCTCTTACGTTTCTCTTACTTCGTAAGTACGATTTCTGAAATCGTACGCTTCGCTTGCAATACACGTATGATTATCTCACTCACTGTGTGCGACACAAGTACAGATCGTACGTGCTCCTTACTTCTTCCTACTTCCAAAAAAAGGCGTACAGACCACTTGCGGGCCCCACGTTTAGAGCACAACACACCTACTCATAAAGTACTTACTACTTCGTCTGTTGCGATTTAATTTTCATCCTGCGACAACGCTACGTCTGACAAGAACTCCGAGGACGCACGATCTCTAAGCACGCACGACGGGTTGTAAGAGAGGCTTAAGTCATCAAAACAGGTCATATACCAATCTGCAACTTAACAGTTTTAGTTGAATATTAAGAATTTAAATAAAATAAAACCTAGTTATATAAATCCATTCAGACTCTCTGATCACATACCCGTTACTACTTGCTTAAATATATGTTTTTCAAACTTAAAAAGCCTCTCCTCCAATTTCTTCAAACGTGTTATTTGACACAATAAATAAATAAATAAATAATTTGCCAAGGCTCGATGCTCTGTCAGGATTTCCAAATTTTTTTTAAAATATTTTTAGCTCTCCTTATTTTTTTCCTTTGATGGTCAAGGTCCAGGAGTTTTATGTCAGTAAAGCTTGCCCCTTTTCTAATTTTAAACCGCACCTGTTAGTTACTTGTAAAAAGCAACTGAGGCAAGTGTTGGAAATGAAAGTACCAATAATATTAAGACCTGTACATATTGCGCAATGTCCAAAGCAAACTCCCTTACCCCCCCCCCCCCCACAAAAAATTCTCTTATTACCAAAAATACCATGCAAATGCCTAAAAAGAATCTACTGATAAGTTAATATACCATGTCCCATCTCTGTTTGTGCATATGTGCCAATAATCTGGAGACTCTTTGCCAGTGTCAGCCATTTTGCTTTTTGCTCATCGGTGGTCTGTGTGGAGAGTATGGGAATGAACATGTCGTCTTGGAGGGCAATTGGGGAATTCTCGTGTGGCATTGTGAACCTGGATTCATATGCGTTGAAATGATATAAAAATTAAACCAGATCTTTATATGTATGTGTGTGTATGTGTGTGCTCCTGTACGTGTGGGCATATGTAATAATTAAAGGGATGACAATTCTTCATTAAAAAACTGAGAGGAAAATTAAGTGATGTAAAGCAGACTTTCACGGGGTTAAACGTCAATTTCTTCACACCTCAACAGTCACCTTGAACATCTTTTGAGAATATCAGATTTAGTTAATGAAAGCAGTTTCATCAGGCCATGCAAAATTTGAACTTATTTTGATATATTAAACTGCCTACTATATGAATTTTAGAAATTAAAATGTACAGTAGAAGGCTTATATGCAATGACCTACTCCCTTAGACGGGAATTTCACAGAGATTTCCATCTCGGTCACTGGAATATTATCTGGGTCACTTGTTGATATCAGCATAACTATGAAGTCATGTCCTAATAAACAGATATAATTTGGGGCTTGGGACTGGCATCTTTTCAATATTTTCCATTTTCAGCAGTAGATAGAATTTATATAGATGAAATATATAAAAGTGTCACATGTACCATACTAGTATCGTAAGTTAGTTTTATCAATTAACTTGCTTTCACTGAAAATAACTTTTAGACATGATAAGATAAATATAATAATAATGTTCAATAATAATGTTTTTAAAAATAAATAAACCATACACACTATCCTTTACCATTAATTCCAATATGATTTTGAAAAAAATGGGATTGTGTGGAAGTCGAATATACCATATTTAACACAAGGCCAAAGAAAATTTCTGCGTTTCCTGGGTTAACCAATCTCTAGGAAAAGAGATATAAAGTAAATGCCAGCACTCACGATCTGTAATAGTACTGATCAGCAGGGTCCGTCAGGTTGAGTTCCTTCAATTTTTTCACAGCATGCAGCGCCTTCTTCATCCCCAGGGAGTATCTTTCCCCGCGAGACATGAAACACACTGGTTTGTGTTTGTACACAGGGTCGTTGAGTACAAGGTTCTCTGAAAAATAAAAGATGAGATCTATTGAAAATCGGGCAACAAATTTTGAATGTTTGCCAAAAACCAACTACTAGTACAGTATAGGCACACATCAATGGGTGTGCTGTGACACATGTGCAATGCATTACACATTCCTGTAATCTCTGAACCTAAATTTCAAGAAAATTTAAAATAAACAAATTAACAAACAAATATGAAAATGAAATTAAAAAAAGTCAATCACATTTCATTAATATTTTTGCAAAGTATATGCACTAAATTGTCTAGAAAAAAATGAATTAATTAGTTAAATATTCAACAGTTATACTGTGCATAATTATAATAATCATGATATTAAAATACATTTATGAACATAAATTATAATAATCAACAAATATCAACAATAAGTTAAGAATGCCCCATATCCCCCCTTTCTTAACTCCCAGATCAGACAGAGCTTATACTACTATGCTGGTTTTATTGGATGTCACAAGGGTCAAGTGGTAGAAAAGGATGTACATGCTGATTCACCACACCAGTGTTATCTGTTTGTATCCACTTTTTAACCCAAGGAAGATAAATATTTGCTCAGGGCAATAAATAACTAGGAGCAATAATGCACTGTGATTGGTATTTTTGCAATTTATCATTGATTTAGAAAGATAGCTATTCCATAACAGTTTACATTATTGGATTTTTTTATTTATTATACATCTATGAAATTATATGAATTACCATATTGCAAGTAATTAACTTCCCACCTTTTTTAAATAAAATACTGATATATGTTACATCTTAACTTTTATTATCTTTCTTGTTAATGCCAATTAATGTAATAAGACTCTTGAATTCATTTTTCATGCTCAACATCATTCTGACTGTACAAAACTGGAAAAAGTCACCCCCCCCCCCCTTCCACAAACAAATATTTTTCAACTGCGTGTCACTGGTTA